TGATCCTTCTTACCATTCATTTCTCCTTGCACAGCTCCTGGTTGTTTTGTACCTTTAATATTACCATAGTTATCTGCATATTACCTCTGTGACGGAGGAAAATATCATGGTGTCCATTTTAGAGAAGGGAGATTATGGCCAAATTTAGAGGTCACCTCTGAAAATCCTGATTTATGTGATTTGCCCACCATCACATAGGATGTCTGTTGCAGCGCACAGGAGAAAACCGATTTCTAAGCTCCAGCCCATCTCCTCAACTTCAGTATCATCCCTTTTCCCTGCAGTTCTTTCTTTCATTCACAATACAGAAATATCTTTATATACAATTATTTGTTAGGCAAACATGTGTGTGTGTCTCACAGATCTTTGTAAAGGCAATGTAACTAAGGGTATGTCTACACTGGAATAAAAGACCCACAGCACAGCTGTGGCTGGCCCAGGTCAGCTAACTCAGGCTTGCGGGGCTCCAGCTATAGGGGTAAAAACTACCGTGTCGACATTCCCTTAGCGAATGAGTAGGTTCTGCTATCTGAAGAACCTGGATTATGTTTCTGGCTCTGTGAGAAGTTACCTTGTAAAACCTTTGTCAGGCCAAAGCTATTTGACTTTTTTGGTGAATTAAGGAGAACATGCGAAGATTTATAAACTGAAAACTGGCTGCAACTTTACATGGGCAAGACAGAAATTACAATACGCTGAATTATACTGACTCACCTCAGCATTAGGGACATTTAAATCCACACCACAATCTTCTACCCCTGGAGCTAACACACCTTCCAAATACGTTGCAAAACATTTTGCAAGACATCATTAGAATGCTGGGAATCAGGATCCCCGGTTCTATTCCTAATTCGGTAAAGGAACTGTAGTCTAGTGCTGGGGTTCTCAAACTTCATTGCTCCGCGACCCCTTTCTGACAAGAAACATTGCTACAGGACCCCAGGAAGGGGGGACCAAGGGGAAAAAGAGAGCCAAAGCCACAATATCCCAGGCTGGGAGGCCAAAGCAGAAGCCCTCGGGCTTGGGCCCCAGACCTCAGCAAGTCTAAGACAGCCCTGATGATCCCATTAAAATGGGGTCATGACCCACACAGTTTGAGAATCGCTGATCTAGTTGTTAGGAAAGCTGTTACTGACAGACTAAGTAAGCACTGAGATTTGATACACTCATTTCAAAACCCAGGGTGGCTGAATGCGGAAGACTTGAGTCTTATACCTTAAAGACCTAGGGTCTATTCACTGCACGAGCCACAGAAAGCTGACGCAATCTCAGTTATCTTACTGGTAAGACAGGTGGGATATGATAGTTGTCTATCCGAAGCAGAGAATATGGAGTATTAACCAATAATAAGAATCATGAGAAGCACAGAAATATTGCCAGTTAAAGACGAGACTTTAATTCATGGCCTCCTGGCTCTCACCCAGGTTACTTTCCCCTAAACTAGTGGGAATTTTGTGCGCAAGGGATCTCAATTACCTCCATGTACAGTGCTGGCATTTTATGCTAGAACAACGTTCTGGTATATTACTCTAGAAACAGAAATAAAGTTGAACAACATTTTTATTTATAAGGTTTCACAAACTGTTTGTAGTGAACACCAGATCTCAGTGGGGCAAGCCAGTGATACAATTTCATGTGGTTGTTGCCCACAGATTTTTTTCCCCCTCATACCAACAAAAATGGTTAAGAAAATTGAATTTAGAAAACAGGCCATAAGGGGAATAAGGAGTAGACTTTTGAGAGTAACCAGGAACCCCTAGACCAAGCAGCTCTAAATATAAAACCATAAACTCTAGCCTGAATTTGCAGGTCAGTTTTCAAGATGATCTGACTACCTGTGTGGAGAAGTTAGAAAATTCATGTTTAGACAGAAATGCTGTTGTAACTTGAAGTATGGTACAGCTATTCACTGTTTCATAATTAGCAATCCCGTGGGAAGCAAGCTCTCTGCAACCTCATTCCTATCATGGAATCTTGCAGGAAAAAAAAGAATTGGGCTTATATTGATCAGACAGACCTCTCATTAATTGAGAGTCAATTTTATACAACTGGAAGTGGACTGAATATTCCTCTTCTACTAGTTGTGTAACATTTACATTTTTTCACACAATAACTATTTTACACATGTATATTATACACCTTTGGTTATTCCATATTCAAATAGAAGAAGGGAAATATGTTTACATTGTGTAAGTCTTGTATACAGTGTATAAGTCTTATATAGCATGCATTTTATATTATTCCCAGAATACTTTACTGCTCTAATAAATCTTTTCAAGTTCTGTGTAAAGATGGTAAAGTAATTCCAACACAGAAGTGCATTAAGAACAGTTCATGGTGCAACACCACATGCACTTTTACATAGGTGAATTACAGTTTGATTCACTTAGCTTTTTTCAAAACTGTGTGGAAACCTGACAAGAATAGGTTTCCATTAAAATTCCTCAGACACTAGGACTGTGAAGTAACCTGTAGCAAGTTTTTGTGCTACAGTTCTAACTCCTGAAAAATATTACAAATAATTTACATCTACTCAATATTTCTGAGGGTTCAGATATATTCCAATTTTCTTTCTCTCTTTCTTTCAGAAGCTCTCAACTGAAAACATTAATAATAAACAGTAACTTGAATTCTTTTCAAAAGAAGCAGAGCTGTTGTAAGCCTTTGGCTTCAACAACAGCCAGTGGCTACAAGTTCCACAAGTTTAATTATATCTTGTAAAAAGAAAAGGAGTACTTGTGGCACCTTAGAGACTAACCAATTTATTTGAGCATGAGCTTTCGTGAGCTACAGCTCACTTCATCAGATGTTTACCGTGGAAACTGCAGCAGACTTTATATACACACAGAGAATATGAAACAATACCTCCTCCCACCCCACTGTCCTGCTGGTAATAGCTTTCACGCAATCACAGACATGAAGGTCGCTATCTTAAAACAAAAAAACTTCAAATCCAGACTCCAGCGAGAAACTGCTGAATTGGAATTCATTTGCAAATTGGATACTATTAATTTAGGCTTAAATAGAGACTGGGAGTGGCTAAGTCATTATGCAAGGTAGCCTGTTTCCTCTTGTTTTTTCCTCCCCCCCCCCCCCAGATGTTCTGGTTTAACTTGGATTTAAACCTGGAGAGTGGTCAGTTTAGATGAGCTATTACCAGCAGGAGAGTGAGTTTGTGTGTGTATGGGGGTGGGGGGGATGTGAGAAAACCTTGATCTATGCAGGAAATAGCCCGACTTGATTATGTAAAGAGTTGTCACTTTGGATGGGCTAGCACCAGCAGGAGAGTGAATTTGTGTGGGGGGGTGGAGGGTGAGAAAACCTGGATTTGTGCTGGAAATGGCCCACCTGTTGATCACTTTAGATAAGCTATTACCAGCAGGACTTTTTTTTGTTTTGGGTTTTTTTGTTGTTGCTGAATCACAGAATATCAGGGTTGGAAGGGACCTCAGGAGGTCATCTAGTCCAACCCCCTGCTCAAAGCAGGACCAATCCCCAATTAAATCATCCCAGCCAGGGCTTTGTCAAGCCTGACCTTAAAAACTTCTAGGGAAGGAGATTCCACAACCTCCCTAGGTAACGCATTCCAGTGTTTCACCACCCTCCTACTGAAAAACTGTTTCCAAATTTCCAACCTAAACCTCCCGCACTGTAACTTGAGACCATTACTCCTCGTTCTGTCATCAGCTACCACTGAGAACAGTCTAGAGCCATCCTCTTCGGAACCCCCTTTCAGACAGTTGAAAGCAGCTATCAAATCCCCCCTCATTCTTCTCTTCCGCAGACTAAACAATCCCAGTTCCCAGAATATCCTCATATTTTCTATACCTTATTTGGATTGAGTTAGGGGAGCCCCGCTGTGCCAGGCACCGCACAAACACAAGACAAAAAGAAAAGGAGTACTTGGGGCACCTTAGAGACTAACCAATTTATTTGAGCATGAGCTCTCATGAGCTACAGCTCACTTCATCGGATGCATTTGATGAAGTGAGCTGTAGCTCACGAAAGCTTATGCTCATATAAATTGGCTAGTCTCTAAGGTGCCCCAAGTACTCCTTTTCTTTTTGCGAATACAGACTAACACGGCTGCTACTCTGAAACCAAACACAAGACACTGGTCCCTGCCCCAAGGAGCCCCCAGTCACAGCACGCCAGCTATATGCGGACAGTAGCACTGCAATGCAGCCTCTCCCGGGGGCAGAGCAGCGGAGAGAGGTTGTTAGGGGGCCGGGGCAAACCCCTGCTCTGCAGGCTGGGAGGGGTGTACGGCTGAAGCAGGCCTGAAAAGACCCGCCCCCGTGGTGGTCCAGGGGCCTCGCAGCCGACGCTGAGGCAAGACTCAGGGAAGGGGCAGCTCCGAGGCTGGGCCCGCCCCGCTGCCCATCGCGAGGCGGCAAGGGGCGCGCAGGGGCCGGGACAGGGCAGCGGGAGCACGTCGCGGCTCGGGGGGGGGAGGGGAGCGGAGCAGCCCCTCCCCGCCGGAGGAGCGCGGGCGGCATCACCCACCCCGTCGTGTCCCCTCCGCCCCACTCGCCTGGGGGAGGCCCCAGCCCGGCCGTCCGCATCGCCCCACCCTTCCAGCGCTCCCCTACCTGGCGCCCGGGGGTAACGCTCTCTCCCTGCTGCAAGCGCCCATAACTCGTTCCGCTGCTACCGAGCCCCTGCTGGGAGTACCCGGGACGCTCCCTTCTGCACTGCGCAAGCGCAGAGCCTCCGCTGGCCCGAAGAATGCCGGGAGCTGTCCTTCCAGACTACAGGTCCCAGCGTGCCGGCTGGCTTGAGGTAGCCTAGGGCACTAGGACCTGACGTCTCGGCAAGGCCGGAAGGCATGCTGGGAAATGTAGTCTTGGATTTAGGCTTGGCGGATTCCCCTTGCACGAAGAGCGATCTTCTGTGCCATGGAGAGCCGTCCTTACCCTTTGTGGCGCGTTGCATGGCGGGAGTGATAGTCTCCGCTATGCACGCTGGGGCTTGTAGGCTCGCGGGAGTTTTGGTTGGACCAACGTCGACGCGTATTCGGGTCCCGCCCTGCGCGGGCTGACGCAGCCACGGAGTGATGTTTGATGATGTCGCCTAGCAGCTGCTGTTGCCTCCGGTAGCTTCAACGGAGACGGGTGAGGGCAGGAGGGCGCGGCGGTGGGGGGAGCTGCCGGGCAGGGGGGAGGCCGCCGGTGGCCCTGGAGGGCAGTTGGGGTGGTAGCGGCGGCCCCCGTCTTCTCCCCACGTCCCGCCTCCACGGGGCCCAGGCTCGGGGCGCGTTATCCGGGCACTTGCGAGGGAGCCGCGCCGCAGCCTCCCGCCGGCAGCGCCTTGCGCGGCTGAGGAGCCTGGCTGTGGCCCGGTGGGAGAGGGCAGCTGCCTCCCTGCAGAGCGCGGCCACGCGCCGTGGGAGGGCCTGGGCCCGCGTGGGCAGGAGCACGGCTCTTGCTGGTGGAGGCCATGTGCGAGCGGAGACTGCGGTGCGCGCCCGGCACACGCTGATGGGGAAGAGCCACAGCCATGGTCGCGGGGCCGGTGGCGTGTGAGGGAACCATGGGGTGCGCGTCAAGCCTCTCAAAACGTTCCTGGCAAAGAGAAAGGATGTGAAGCCATCGGGTCGCTAATTGCGATGGTGTGATGCTCCCCTGGGTACCCAGGGTCACCGCCACCTGTCCTGAGCAGGAGGAAGCCTTGACTGTGCCAGCTCCTCTCTTAGCCTAGTGCAGACCCTATGCTTTGCTTTCCACAGGTTAGAGATAGGCACACTCCAGCCCTGGAACCCTCTGAGCATCTCCTAGAGTGTCGAGCCCCAGGTCCACTGGGCACTTGCATTATTCACAGATTCACTGCTTGCAAATAAGCAGTACATTTCAGTTTACTGGTTACCTTACATCACTCCACTTAACGCTTATCACTTATAGTTATGTTTAAAGTGAAAACAAAAGTTGATATATCTAAGTATAGAGATTCCAGGGATAGCAAGTTAAAGTATCGGAAACAAAGGGTTACATATAAAATAAAATCATAACACACATTCTAGGGTTTAGTTTTAATTAACAAGATACTCTCATGCCTAATACAATATTGTTCACTGGCACTTTCCAGCCAGGTGGGCTGTGATCCCTTTTTCATGAGAGATAACACACTGTCTGCTTGGTGTGAAGGTATGCTTCACTCTCGGCTGTGCCCCCACAATCCACTGTCTTTACTTGAAAACGGGATCCCTTCCTGCTGTTTATTTCTTTGTGAAATCTACAAGAATAAATGTTCAGAATCTTTCCACTGGTATCACCGTCACTATGCAAATAGACCACCGTTATTATAAAGTGGACAGTATACAATAGTGGTTCTCAGCCCGTGGGCCGCTTGTGGCCCAATCAGCACACATCTATGGCCCATGCGACATCCTCAGGGCCATATAGATAGCGTACATATTTTGTGGATGTGGCCCACATAACAAATAGAGAGCTGTATATTCAGCCCTGTCATAAATATAAAGGGAAGGGTAAACCCCTTTGAAATCCCTCCTGGCCAGGGGAAAGCTCCTCTCACCTGTAAAGGGTTAAGAAGCTAAAGGTAACCTCGCTGGCACCTGACCAAAATGACCAATGAGGAGACAAGATACTTTCAAAAGCTGGGAGGAGGGAGAGAAACAAAGGGTCTGTGTCTGTCTGTATGCTGGTCTTTGCCAGGGACAGAACAGGAATGGAGTCTTAGAACTTTTAGTAAGTAATCTAGCTAGGTATGTGTTAGATTATGATTTCTTTAAATGGCTGAGAAAAGAATTGTGCTGAATAGAATAACTATTTCTGTCTGTGCATCTTTTTTGTAACTTCAGGTTTTGCCTAGAGGGGTTCTCTATGTTTTTGAATCTAATTACCCTGTAAGATATCTACCATCCTGATTTTACAGGGGGGATTTCTTTATTTCTATTTACTTCTATTTTTTATTAAAAGTCTTCTTGTAAAAACTGAATGCTTTTTCATTGTTCTCAGATCCAAGGGTTTGGGTCTGTGGTCACCTATGCAAATTGGTGAGGCTTTTTATCCAACATTTCCCAGGAGAGGGGGGGTGCAAGTGTTGGGAGGATTGTTCATTGTTCTTAAGATCCAAGGGTCTGGGTCTGTAGTCACCTAGGCAAATTGGTGAGGCTTTTTACCAAACCTTGTCCAGGAAGTGGGGTGCAAGGTTTTGGGAAGTATTTTGGGGGGAAGGACGCGTCCAAACAGCTCTTCCCCAGTAACCAGTATTAGTTTGGTGGTGGTAGCGGCCATTCCAAGGATAACGGGTGTAATATTTTGTACCTTGGGGAAGTTTTGACCTAAGCTGGTAAAGATAAGCTTAGGAGGTTTTTCATGCAGGTCCCCACATCTGTACCCTAGAGTTCAGAGTGGGGAGGAACCTTGACAAGCCCACAATGGTACATAGGTTGAGAACCACTGGTATACAATGACCAGACAGCGACGTAAGCATCTATTATCCCTGCCTGCAAAGAACCTGTCTGTGACGTGTCACCTTCTGGTGATCTGCCTTACCTTAAGAACATAATTTACAATATAGATGGATAATTTTTGAAATATTAGCCAGATATGCATTTGGCAATGATTATGATGACTAGTGTGATACTGGCTGTTGGTAGAGAGCTCACATGCCACCCTTTGGTGAACTATTATGCATATATCTAACCCAGCAAATCCCTGTAAAAGTATCTGCACCCCCTGTGCCCTCTGCCAATTGGCACCCAGAGGTTCCTAGGTCATAGATGGTGCCATTAATAGAACTTGCTTATCCATTTGTCACACTTCACTTAAAGTATTGGACTATATAAACTATAATGTGTTATATTCAAGTCATATTGGATTGAACTACATCTCAACCATGCTCCAATTTCAAACAGCTACAAGGTAATGTAGTTCACCACTCTGGCTGGCTGAGATGAAAAAAAATTAAGAGTTGTGTGTCATCAGCATACTGATGGCATCACAAGCCATATCTCCTAATATACCCTCTCAATGATCCTATACATACTGTACACTGAAGAAGAGGGGTAACTAAACGGAGCCCTGTATGAGATGACTTTTAGGGAACAGGAGCCATTTGAGAACCCCAAGTCATGTAAAATCAGCCCCATCTACTGCCGCATAGGTCCGCAGGCAAGTTGGTCAACAATAGCTCACAATCATTAGTATGCAAAGCGGCAGATAGATCTAATACTATCAGCATGGACCCACAAGCTTCATCCATTGTGATAAAGAGATCATCTACAAATACAACCAGCACAGCATGTTCTAGCAAGTGGAGGAAGCAAGTGTTGTTTTTTTTTGACTGTGCCATCCTCAGTAAACTGATACTTTATAGCATTATTTGGTTTACTGCACCCAAAAGTGTCCATTGCATTTTCAGAACATATAGAAGACCCAATCAGTGCTCCTAAGAATTTACAGTTTAAAGTCCCAATCCTATAATTGGATTAATAGTCATTCATGCAAACACAGAGGTCTTTCCACTTGACCAATTGCAAGATTGATGCCTATATAAAAGACAGGAGTTAACAAGTGGTTATAAGAAGAACAAAACAGTTGGGAAGGTAAGCGTAAGATAAGAGTTACAACAAGATCATGTAGTTGCTTGAATAATTTTGTTTCAGAGTAGCAGCCGTGTTAGTCTGTATTCGCAAAAAGAAAAGGAGTACTTGTGGCACCTTAGAGACTAACAAATTTATTTGAGCATAAACTTCCATGGGCTAAAATCCACTTCATCGGATGCATTCAGTGGAGAATACAGTGGGGAGATTTATATACATAGAGAACATGAAACAATGGGTGTTACCATACACACTGTAACAAGAGTCAGGTTTCAGAGTAACAGCCGTGTTAGTCTGTATTCGCAAAAAGAAAAGGAGTACTTGTGGCACCTTAGAGACTAACCAATTTATTTGAGCATGAGCTTTCGTGAGCTACAGCTCACTTCATCGGATGCAACCGATGAAGTGAGCTGTAGCTCACGAAAGCTCATGCTCAAATAAATTGGTTAGTCTCTAAGGTGCCACAAGTACTCCTTTTCTTTTTGTAACAAGAGTGATCACTTAAGGTGAGCTATTATCAGCAGGAGAGCGGGGGAGGGAGGGAACCTTTTGTAGTGATAATCAAGGTGGGCCATTTCCAGCAGTTGACAAGAACATCTGAGGAACAGTGGTGGGTGGAGGGAAGGGGAATAAACACGGGGAAATAGTTTTAATTTGTGTAATGACCCATCCACTCCCAGTCTCTATTCAAGCCTAAGTTAATTGTATCCAGTTTGCAAATTAATTCCAATTCAGCAGTCTCTCACTGGAGTCTGTTTTTGAAGTTTTTTGTTGAAGAATTGCAACTTTTAGGACTGTAATCGAGTGACCAAAGAGATTGAAGTGACTCCAACTGGTTTTTGAATGTTATAATTCTTGACGTCTGATTTGTGTCCATTTATTATGTTACGTAGAGACTGTCCAGTTTGACCAATGTACATGGCAGAGAGGCATTGCTGGCACATGATGTCATATATCACATTGGTAGATGTGCCAGTGAATGAGCCTGCTGGAAATGGCCCACCTTGATTATCACTACAAAAGGTCCCCCCCCCCCCCCGCTCTTCTGCTGGTAATAGGTCACCTGAAGTGATCACTCTCTTTTTACAGTGTGTATGGTAACACCCATTGTTTCATGTTCTCTATGTATATAAATGTCCCCACTTTACTTTCCACTGAATGCATCCGATGAAGTGAGCTGTAGCTCACGAAAGCTTATGCTCACATAAATTTGTTAGTCTCTAAGGTGCCACAAGTACTCCTTTTCTTTTTGAAGAATTTTGAGTCTCAGTACATTATTTAGGGTATCATTGCTTAATAAATATATTCATGTGTCTCATTGCTTATAAAATATATTCATTGTTTTAACAAAGCTTTTAATAACAATTGTAACCATTCCGCCACGCGGAGTTGGCAGTGACAAGGCCGGGTTCAACATCTAGCTGTTCCTTTTTCACAATACCACAAGAACCAGAGCCCCGATCCCAGTAACCTGGGAAAATTATATATCACTCGCTGGGTACCTCAGAGAGGCAATACTTCCCTCTTGCAAGCACTGAGTCTGGCATGGAAAATAATTTTTATAATAAAGAGGGGAAAAGTAACCCGGCTTTACCTTGGGAAAATGTTGCAGGCAGGTGTGACAGGTTTGGTCACAGAGATCCCCTTGGGACTGTCACCTGATGTGCTGAAATTACCTCTGAGCCTGTTTTCCCTGCCAGCTTGGGACTCCAGAACCCTGTCTTGTTGAGCCAGACCCGCCAGCCTGCTGCAACACAGACCCAGGGTCTGGACCACACCCCCAAAGCTACAGGCTTTAAGTGAAAACAGCTCAGTAGGTTACCTGTCCCAGCATCCAGACACCCAGTTCCCAGTTGGATCCAACCCCCAAATAAATCCGTTTTACTCTGTATAAAGCTTATACAGGGTAAATTTGTAAATTGTTCACCCTCTGTATCACTGCTAGAGAGAGATGCACAGCTGTTTACTCCCCCAGGTATTAATCACTTACTCTGGGTTTATTAATAAACAAAAGTGATTTTATTAAGTATAAAAAAGTAGGATTTAAATGGTTTCAAGTAATAACAGCCAGAACAAAGTAAATCACAGAGAAAAATAACGCAAAAACACGCAAGTCTAAGCCTAATACATTAAGAAACTGATTACAGGTAATATCTCAGAGATGTTCCAATAGAATTCTTCCTAGTCTGGGCCCAATCCTTTCCCCGGTACAGTCCTTGTTAATTCCAGCAGACATCTCAGGTGGTAAGCAGGGGTTTTCTCATAACTGGCATCCCCTTGTGTCCTGCTCCACCCCCTTTTATAGCTTTGGCACAAGGCAGGAATCTTTTGTCTGTGCTTGTCCCTACCCCTACCTCATCAATGGAAAAATACAAGGGTTAAGATGGATTCCAGGGTCATGTGACATGGTGATATGTCACTGTAAAACCCTAGTCTCCATTCTTCCTGGGTTGGCCCACATGTACACAGGAAGTTTTGCATGTAAATAAACCATTTACAACAAATTGACTAGGTCAATGGGAGCCATCAAGATTCTAAACCACCATTAATGGCCCACACTTTGCATAATTATAATAGGGCCTCAGAGTTATACTTCATATTTTTAGCTTCAGATACAAGAATGATACATGCATACAAATCGGAGGAATATATTCAGTAGGTTATAACCTTTGTTATGATACTTCATAAGAGACCTTTTGCTTAAAGAATATTCCAGTTACAGCATATTTACACTCATAAGCATATTTCCATAAAAGATATGGAGTGCAACGTCACAGCAGAATTCATAGCATCATGAGCAACACACCCATCCCAGAGTATGTTGGGCAGTGTTTTTGCCTTAGGTTCTTAAGTCTGACAATCAAAAGTTCCTTTAACATACTCCTCCTTTCTCCCTCCACCACATCCCACTCTCAGTTGTTCTCCTTGCTCCTACCCCTCGCTTAGCGAGCACAGTTCAGCTGAGGGTGAAACCCTCAATCAGGGCCTGCCAAGCACAGTTCTGCTCCCACAAACCAAGGATAACAACACTTTATTAGCCCTGCACCCAATTACAAAGTGACTTGCAATCCAGCACTCGCTAAAAGTGATCATTTGGGCAAAGCAGCTCCATCATGCTGTGCACCTAGGCCAAATGGGGATGTCTACGCAAATAAGGTCAGTTGCGGAAATCTTCTTCTCTAGTTCATCACTAGATGTCAGGGTAGAATTAATTCAGACCCTGCTTACAGGGTCAAACATAAAATTGGTATCGTGAAATGAAGTAGCCTATAGGTTTGTATAAATGGGATTTGAGATGCCGAAGTCATTGGCTAATTAAGGATTAGGAAGAACAAGAGGTGTGTGGAAGGACAGTGAAGGACTGGTTGCTAGAGTGGGGCTGTTGGAAGATAATTCTGTGCTTATATTCTTGGATGTGTCCTTGCTGTGGAAGGGACAGTAAAACCCTCAATCATTTGTCTGTCTGTGGAAGTGGGCCTGTGGTTCCATTTCAGTACTACTTGTTGACGTCTCATGGCCCATGTTTTCATGATGCCAATAGCCTATTTGCCTAATCTGCAGTCTCAGCCTCTTCTTCTCCTTGGTCATCTGCTACTCTGACACATCATCTTCTCCTTCTGCTTAGAATATATTTTCCCTCTTTTCGCCTAATTAACTGGGCAGGACTAGCATTTCAAAAGATCATTGAATTTCTTCTGCATGGCATACTGCAGCTGTGTCTCCCTGTCATCCAGGAGAAGCAGAAGATCAGAAATATATGCATAATGCAAGTGTAGTGTCATCCTTGGAAGATGATTGATTACATAGAATATATATTTTCCAGAACACTTAGTAAACACAGAGAAACTGACTCTACAACAGTGATGGACAACCCGCGGCCCATATTTGTTTACATTGACTGTCTGCAGGCATGACTGCCCGTAGTTCTCAGTGGCCGCGGTTCCACAGGGACATGGTGGCCGCCGCTTCTCGCAGCTCCCATTGGTCGGGAATGGTGAACCGCAGCTAACGGGAGCTGCGGACGGGGTGCCTGCAGATGGTCAATGTAAACAAACTGTTGCGTGGCCCGCCAGCATATTACCCTAACGGGCTGCGTGTGGGCTGCAGGTTGCTCACCACTACTGTAGAATGTTATGGTAAATATATTTTCCCACAATTCCTACATTTTTCTTTTTTATGACATATTATGCATTTGGGCTATTAAAGGCTTTTTAATACTGGCCAATATACAAAATCAAGTAATGTAGAGCTTCTGAATGATATTGCAGTAATTAATATATCTCTTTTCCTCTCTTCAGGTACTTTTGCTCAGTGTCTAAGGATTCCCCAATAAAACTGGATTTAAACTTGTAAAAACGATATAACTGAGATAATAAATGTGAAGTACATTTTCACTGGAGGCTAGGAAAGGATGATTTGCCTCATAACTTAATTGCACAACTGGAGGAGAAAAGTTTTCATGTTGTCATCACAGACAATTCTAGGAATGCTTTGAGGAAGACAGTGGCAGCTGAGGTTGTGTGGCTGTGGAGTATAAAAAGGGAGGTTAAGTTGGTGAAACTCTAGACTGGGCTGAGGTAATGCAGAGCAAGTTGTGCCAATTCCCAGAAGTATGCATGAGATTCTGACAGCCTCAGGTGTGGGGAGTATGAGGGCTAAAAAGACATCAAAAGTCCTCTCTTTTTGTAGGCTGGGGCACATAGGAGAAGTTGGATGTTGGAGGGCAGGTCTACACTACAGGGCGAAGTTGACCTAAGTTATGCAACTCCAGCTATGTGAATAAAGTAACTGGAGTACACATATCTTAGGTTGACTTATTGCGGTGTCTACACCATGCTAGGTTGACAGAAGACACTCTCCTGTTGACTTACCTTATGCTTTTTGTTCCGGTGGAGTACCAGAGTTGATGGGAGAGCGAATGGCGGTCGATTTAGCTGGTCTTCACTAGACCTGGTGAAATGACCCCTGGGGGATCGACAGCCACACGTCAATCCCCTGTAAGTGGAGATCAGCCCTGAGAAGGTGATTGTCATGCACAAAATATCTGTCCCAATTCCGTATGTTAGTTCACAGCAATGGACTAAATATACTGACTGTTCTGGGGGTTTTTTTGTTTTGTTTTTTACTGCATTGTTGCCATCCTTCTAACTTAGGGCAATAAATAGATTTTTTAAAAAATGCTTGTTCTGTGTTTAAATTTAGCAGGGCCTTACTGCTGTTTTGGGGCTATTGTCAGTGCATGGTAGGAACAGCCACGGTGAATGTAGTAATCCACAAACTCAAACCCCCTTATGGAGATAGTACAGACATTTCTCACCATGTCCAATACAATGGCAAGCCACTGTGACACATAGTTATAGACAGGAGAGAAGCTCCATGTAGATGGACTTACTGTTTCACATTCTTATTACCCTCACAATAGACTGGCCAGCTTTCAGATCAACTACTGGATTTTATGGATACAGGCACAGTAAGCAAAAAGATGAGGGTCGTAGCCAGCACAAGAATTTTGCTGCCTTACAGAAATGGATGCTGGATAATCAGATGTTCGGAGTACAATTCTTGGGTGTTATATAAGAGATTTTCTGTTGCCACAGGCAGATTTGCCTTCTGGAATATCTGCTTCAAAGATCGCAATGTGTTCACTGAGAAACACAATGTACTGCATTATGAGATTGGTGGATGGTTCTTAGCATCAGTCTCTGCCATTCACATGGTTGCTTTTGACAATCATAGCTACAAGTTCATAAATAGTACTGATGTTTAATTATTTTGTTGTTACAGGAAAAACTATTTTAAATTCAAGATGCCACCCAATTTAGATTGGAAGAAGCTTATGAGAATTGATGCTGACGATCTGCCTCGTCAAGAAGAACTGGCAGATAGTTTGCTGGTGACTGTATCCAAGGTACTTTAAGTGAACTTTAATAGTTTTATTATTCATCTTTAATTAACCTGAACTGGTATAGTACGTGTGTAGTGTTAAGTGTGTTTATTTAATTTTCTTGATGTTTAACTAAACCATATTCTCGTCTGTATTTAGGTTGAAGGAAATGACTTAAAAGGTGAAAATCTTGAACATGTGGTACATCTTTTTAAAATTACACAGTCACTAATGAAGGTTTGTATTGATCTTATTTTTTAAAACAACATGACTTTTTAAAATGCATTCATGTATGTATTTTTAGATAAAAGTATTTGTTTCCATTTTCAAGTGGAAGCTCAGGGCTTAGTTCTTTTTTCATACATCTTCACACATGTAACTCCCATATGTACTGGAAGACACACATACTTTGTTGCTTTACATAAGTGCTTCTGGGAGTTATATGTGTGTATGATGAATGTAAAAACAGATTGTGTAATTAAAAGAGCCTGCTTTTCCAGACAGAGAAATACAAACACAAATCTCAAACAATTTTTAGGTGCTGTAAAATATCTTAAAAATTGTTTTTCTGTAACATTTGTGGCACATAAAAATACATGATGATGAGGTGCCAGTTTGATTGGTACTAGTTTGGAATAACCTTCAAAACTTGAGTGTCAGCACTACTCATTAGGAAGGTGGTGTGAGGTTGAAAGGGATAGTTTTAAATTGTTGGATGCCAGGTAATTTTGTTTGAAAAATTACTAACAATATTTAGTTTAGAGAAACAAGGAATTGTAGGCGAGCTCTTACTAATTGTTTCTCTTATTGTCAGTTCCGGGGTCTGGCTCCCCCTTATGTAGTCACAGAGGTTCTTTTTCATACCTTACAGGACACCATGATCAAGACCAAGCAAAATAATCACAGTTGTTAATCATGGCTATTGCATTTAGCTAACATATTTGCAACTATCCATTTCACAAAGGTGTTTTTCATTTCAACATTTTAAGAAATAAACAAAAGTTTAAAACATCTCCAGCTGCACATGTTATTCTATAAAGTTTTTAAGAACACAGGTTTTCTTGCAAGAGGGTGGGGGTTATTAGAGCTCACTGTACCTAGATTTATTGCTCTGATAATATACCCTACATTCATTTTTACAGTTAGCCCTCTACTTAAAACATTATTTTACGTGGTCTGTGCTTTTGAGGTATGATTGATGTTGGGAGAGAGAAACAGAAATCTTATGGAATTTCTTAGAGTAGTTTTAACATTTTGAAACATAACTAACTAAACATATGTATTCTTATATTTTCAAGCATCCTGGGTATAACATTCTTGTAGCTATATCTTAATATTCAGTAATGGTGCAGACAAGTTTGTAACAACTTTAAAATTATTTTATAATTTATTATTGTCATTTTTTGCATCAATATTGAGGTATCTCCCTCCATCCCAAAACCATGCTTATGAAATCTTTATATCACACTATTTGTATTCTATCATAGATGTATTGAAAATGGCAGTGCCAACCAGGTTACAAAGTCTGTTTTTTGTAGGGACCTTTTCTATAGTTTTCAGGGTGTGTGCTTTTGAGTACGTAAGGTTTCTTTATTGTTAGTATAATTCCTGTGAAAAAATACCTAGTGTGGCCTAGTGGATAGAGCACCTGCCTGGTGCTTGGAGGGTATCTGGTTCTATACCTGACTCGACCACTGGTTTGAATGATATTCCATTCGTTCTAGAATGAGATTTTGTGGAGATTATCACCATCTCATAAATTCGTCTAAAGGTAAATCTTTTTTCTTACTATGTATATTTTTTTGCTAGATGAAAGCCCAAGAGGTAGAGCTGGCTTTAGAAGAAGTTGAAAAAGCTGGGGAGGAGCAAGCCAAATTTGGTGAGTAACTCTTCTGAATAAACATTTTAAAAAAAATAGCTATGCACAAAGTGACTTATTACCTGCGGGTCTATAACTAATAAAACATTAGGCTTAATTAATAACTATGGGTGGAATCCTGTCCACATTGAAAGCAATGGCAAAATTTCCATTTATTTCAATGGGGACAGGATTTCATCCCGATATTGATAAATGGGAATGAAGATTGCTGCTGTTACTGTAGTTCTCATAAGTATTTCCTTTGCTTAGAGGTTTTGGATAACCCAGTATGTCCTATTTTTATTTCAACAGAAAATCAATTAAAAGCAAAGGTTCTGAAACTAGAAAATGAATTAGAGGTATGTTTGTTTTTAAACTAAATTAGTTTCTAGAGCTCCAATGGTATTTATTCTCTGTGAACTTGGGAAGCGGCATGGGCCTGCTCTAACCTATAATCCTGTAGACCCTTCAGTCTACTCCCTGAATTCAGCTCATGTCTGAGTTCTTTAGTCGATGTGGGATAGAGAGTACCAAGGGGAAGCCTCTGTCGGAAAGAATTCAGGCCTCCGCTTCTGTGTACAGGCACAAGCAAAGCTAGCAAAAATCATGGATCTCATATACCTCCTGGAAGCTGGCTCTATTAACCTTTATCCACACTGGAGACTGACTGCAGGTTGTGACAAATGACACATTTTTATATTATCTCTTAGTATCAGACTTCTAAACCCTATTATTTCTTACCCCAACTATGCCTCCATGATATGTTGAGGAAATAAAGCTCCCTATCTACCCTAGGGAGGGAGGGTGGGCAGGACAGCCGAAGAAGCAAGAGACTTGTGTAGCACGGAAAAAATTTAAATTTTAAGAGAGGGGAGTATGAGAGCCAACTGGATACCAATCCTTCTCCCAACTGGGCAGTGGGATGGAACAAACCCAAAGAGGGAGAGGGGCCTGACTCCAACCTGTGCTTTCCTCTCTCCTATCCCCCTGGGAGTGGCAAATCCCCTGTTTAGGTTCAACTACACACACACACACACACACTCACTCTCTCTCTCTCTCATTGCCGATTCTCTAGGCTTTGGATCAGACACTTAGGCCTCAGTGAGGGTAAATGCCTTTGACATGCCTGAAGAAATTTGTTTCACAAATAAAAACAGTGCCCACTGCTGAAAGAGATGTATTTGACATGTATGGTTGTTAATTTCAGTATTAATTTGGAATATGCACCAAGTACATGTCGGCAGAGCACTGTGTACGTATGGAGATCTCTAGGGAGATCTTTATTTTAATAACTCTGAAGATTTGTGCTCAAGTAATTTTTGTTGTTACTAAAACATTAGATGGAAACATCACCCATTATCTTACTTTTTTTAAACTGTTTGCAAACGTTGTTACTTCCATGCAAATAAATCTGTCTCACTAGCTGTCCTACATTTTTAATTTGAAGAAAAAATGTACATTTGTTAGTTTTTAACATTCTTATAAGATGGCACAGCGAGCTGTTGGTGGTCGTGATACTCGGTTTTTGCGTGATGAGATCCGTCGGCTGGAAAAGCAATTGGAACAAAAAGACAGAGAATTAACAGATATGGAAAAGGAGCTAGAAAAAGAGAAGAAAGTTAATGAACAGGTAAGAAATATTTTATTCCGTTACACAGCTTCTCCCTGAATTCATTACTCACGGGCTAATGAATCCCCCCACCTGGAATTCGGAATGGTTCCAATGTTGTTGCTGGAATTTCCAGGCCTAAGCTCCATCCTTCAGCTCCGGCCACCAGATTTTTGCCTCCATAAGTGGAACAATTTGGCAGTTCAGTTTCTTCCAACCATTTGTGTAGAAATCTTTACTTTTAAGAGGGTAAATTATACCCTGCCTGTTCTCAGCCAGCCAACCCTGGCACTAATAGGATATGGGACTCAGTCAAACGGCATGTCTGGTACCCACCTTGTGACTCTAACACAGAAAAGCCCAATCAGGAGCATTTTGGGTGAGAGTCTAAGGACAAAGAAAAGCTACCCGGCCAGCTCAGAGGCTGAGTCCCTCAAGAGACTGGACTGAAGGGGGAAAAATCCTGAAAAGACAGAGTGCACCTCCCTCAGATACAGAAGTGGGTCTTCAACCCCCTGGGGAAAGAAGCAGGCTCTTACTCAGTTCTCTTTTTTCCCAATATGAATTGAGAGAATTTCAACAATACTCAGAGTAGGTCCTGCAAACTGCAGAGACTCCAGATGCAAAAAGGCAAAAGCAATTGTGTCCTTCCCAAGGCAGTAATTCATATTTTTAATGAACAAGTGTGGTGAAAATCAGGGGTTGAACCTCTTCTCCTTTGCCTTCCTCTGCGAGAGTGTTTGCGAGGCTTTTCCCATACACAGAGGCTCTCACAGTGCTCTGTATCTTGTCACTGCTCCTCTCCCACCCTGCAGCATGTCTGGGCCTGCAGGGAAGCTTGTTCCTGTGCAGCCCTACCATGGGCTGCAGCCTAATGAGAATTGTGGGTGTCTGGCTTTCAGCCCAAGGACCATTGCAGAGCCAGGAAAAGGAGCACAAATTTCAGGCAGTTTAGGAATGGGAATTGTGCCTTCTGATCATCCACCATAAACCCTTGCTCTGCCCAGGAAAGGGGCACAGACTCTGAGCGGCAGAGATGGGCCTGCCTTTCTCTCCCCACCCCTCACCTGCTCCAGAGACTGGCTCCATATTAGGAGCACTTCAGACAGTCAGACTAGAACAGAGGCACAGGAGAATTGCATTCACCATGAACTGCAGCTTCATGGGATTATAGAAGGGTAAGTGAGAAATGCCTCCCACTGTTCAAAACTATCCTGATTTAGTGAGTAAAGCCCTGATTCGTACACAGTTGCTCTTAGAATACTTACTTGAGTGCTAGCCAGCATGGGGGGAGTAATCAGGCAGCTTTTCAGGTACGTCTATGGAGCCTGTAGCAGCAAGCCTCCCAACCTGGGTCCACAGCCTTAGGCTTGCGCTACTACACTAGAATAGGTGTCTAGACAGCGCTTTATAGTTGTGGCTCGGGCTATAGCTTGGGCTCTGAAGTCCACTCCGCTCCCGAGGCTTCAGAGCCCAGGCTTCAGCCCAAGCTGCAACATCTCTACAGCTATTTTTGGTGTGGTAGCGCAAGCCTGAGTCTGGGAGGCTCGCTACTGCGGGTCGTGTAGACTTGCCCTGAGCCTCCTGGGACATCCAGCAAGCTACTTCCCCATTCACGTTATGTGTACAGTACCATTCTTCGGTGTGTGTTCCCTATGCCAGGACGAATAGTGAACTACCTTCCCATGGTAAATGGCTAGGGAATTAAGTACCACAAGTACATCACAGACAAACTAAACAAAATCTACGGGACTTTTTTCGGACTTAAGTCAGTGGCTTTCAAATAACTCATTAATATTAATAAAATATTTTCCTTTCAATCATTATTAGATCTATATTTTCCCATTGATGCCTCCTTTGAAGGCATCATAAAATCCAAATGAGGACACCTGATTAAATCAAATGTGAAACTAAAATATTTATATAAAACATAGAAATTTCATAAATTTGAGGAGCCTAAGGTTGGTGCAACAATAGCTTTACTAGTCAACAACCTAGTCAGAAGGGGACTTCTTCCAAAAGACCCCATAGACCAGGGATTTTCAAACTGGGGGTTGTGACCCCTCATGGGGTTACGAGGTTATTACATGCGGGTTTTGAGCGCTCAGATCTGTGAGTGGTGTGGCTCGGGCTGTCAGCCCTGCCATTTGCTGGGCTGACAGCCCAAGCCCCGTCATGCACAGGGCTCACAGCCCAGCTCCACCGCCTGCCCCACTTTGCCTCCAGCCCTGCTCTGCCTCCAAAGAAAGGACACCAAAATAGAAGTTTGCTCAGGGCGCCATTTTCCCCAAGGCTGGCCCTGGGATTGAGACAACATTAGAGGGCTTAATTATTCAGTGGCTGAAAAGCTGCATTAAACCACAGACCAATCAGAACACTGAGATAGGCACCAAAAAAAAAAAAATTATAATTTAAGTCAGACACACATTTTCTCCTGAAAATAATAGCCACGTCTACTGCTAAAACCAGTATGTTCAGCCTCAACTTGATGAAATTACTGATGTTACTAACTGCGTTCCTACGATATGTAAATGCTTTGGATGTTAAAGATGAATTCTTATTCTGTGAACAACTTGAAACAACCACACCAGCACAGGGCATTTTCAATAAGGTGAATGCCTTTTCCGAAAGCAGTGACAATAAGTAGAAAAATCTTTTGTTAGTCTATGTACTGATGGTGCTCCAGCCATGGTGGGTGTGTGGTCTGGCTTTCAGCAGAAGTTAAAGTGCGTGTCACCTAATGTGATTGTCACTCGTGGAATCCATTGTCAAGTCCTAGCTGCAAAGGCATTGCTAATGTGCTTTAATGCTATGGTGGATGTTGCATGCTTTGAATAGTCATCTTTTTCAAGAGCTCTGCAAGGAAATGGGTGGTGAATACGAAGTTCTGCTTTTCCACACTCAAGTCGGGTGGCTTTCTAGAGGACGCGCATTAAAGCACGCTTTTATACTTCATGAAGAGATGGAGGAGTTTTTCCTGCAAAAAGAGAAACGAGCTGAACAAAATGTTCAGTGACAAGAAATGGCTTCTCTGCTTAGCATACCTAGTCAATATCTTCGGTAGTCTTAATGACCCTCAGTCTGTCACCTCAGGGAAAATGTTCAATATTAATAGACCTGACTAATAAAATCAGAGCCTTCCAGATAAAGTTGGATCTGTGGTGCAGTAATTTGGACACAGACAGATATGGCGTGTTTCTCACGCTTTCCTCATTCAGCGAGGAGAAGGACGATTCCCAGTGGCTGCGAAACTTTTGCGTGCGTAAGGGCACTTTCATGGAACTTTGTGACTTGCTTTCTCCTGCCCTGAGGCGCAAGAATACCAAGATTAGAGCAGCCCTCACAGTTGAGAAGCGAGTGGCAATAGCCCTGTGGAAGCTTGCAACGCCAGATAGCTACCGGTCAGTCGGGAATCAATTTGGAGTGGGCAAATCTACTGTGGGGGCTGCTGTGATGCAAGTAGCCAAAGCAATCAAAGATCTGCTGATATCAAGGGTAGTGACCCTGGGAAATGTGCAGGTCATAGTGGATGGCTTTGCTGCAATGGGATTCCCTAACTGTGGTGGGGTCATAGACGGAACCCATATCCCTATCTTGGCACCGGAGCACCAAGCCCGCGAGTACATAAACTGCAAGCACTGGTGGATCACAAGGGACGTTTCACCAACATCAATGTGGGATGGCCGGGAAAGGTACATGATGCTCGCATCTTCAGGAACTCTGGTCTGTTTCAAAAGCTGCAGGAAGGGACTTACTTCCCAGACCAGAAAATAACCTTTTGGGGATGTTGAAATGCCTATAGTTATCCTTAGGGACCCAGCCTACCCCTTAATGCCATGGCTCATGAAGCCATACACAGGCAGCCGGGACAGTAGTCAGGAGCTGTTCAACTACAGGCTGAGCAAGTGCAGAATGGTGGTAGAATGTGCATTTGGACATTTAAAAGCACGCTGGTGCAGTTTACTGACTCACTTAGACCTCAGCGAAACCAATATTCCCACTGTTATTACTGCTTGCTGTGCGCTCCACAATATCTGTGAGAATAAGGGGGAGACGTTTATGGCGGGGTGGGAGGTTGAGGCAAATCGCCTGGCTGCTGGTTACGCACAGCTAGACACCAGGGCGGTTAGAAGAGCACAGGAGCGCACGGTACGCATCAGAGAAGCTTTGGAAACCAGTTTCATGACTGGCCAGGCTACGGTGTGAAAGTTCTGTTTGTTTCTCCTTGATGAAATCCCCCGCCCCTTGGTTCACTCTACTTCCCTGTAAGCTAACCACCCTCTCCACCTCCCTTCGATCACCACTTGCAGAAGCAATAAAGTCATTGTTGCTTCACATTCATGCATTCTTTATTCATTCATCACACAAATAGGGGGATAACTGCCAAGGTAGCCCGGGATGGGTGGTGGAGCAAAGAAGCACCAGGAGGGGTGGTGAAGGGGGGAAGGACAAGGCCACACAGCACTTTAAAAGTTTAAAACTTTAAAACTTATTGAATGCCAGCCTTCTGTTGCTTGGGCAATCCTCTGGGGTGGAGTGGCTGGGTGGCCAGAGGCCCCCCCACCGCGTTCTTGGGCATCTTGGTGAGGAGGCTATGGAACTTGGGGAGGAGGGCGGTTGGTTACACAGGGGCTGTAGCAGCGGTCTGTGCTCCTGCTGCCCTTCCTGCAGCTCAACCATATGCTGGAGCATATTGGTTTGATCCTCCAGCAGCCTCAGCATTGAATCCTGCCTCCTCTCATCACGCTGCTGCCACCTTTCAGCTTCAGCCCCTTCTTCAGCCCACCACTTATTCTCTTCAGCCCGCCACCTCTCTTCCCGGTCATTTTGTGCTTTCCTGCACTCTGACATTGTCTTCCTCCATGCATTCATCTGTGCTCTGTCAGTGTGGGAGGATAGCATGAGCTCAGAGAACATTTAATCACTAGTGCGTTTTTTTCGCCTTCTAATCTTCGCTAGCCTCTGGGAAGGAGAAGATTCTGTGATCCTTGAAACACATGCAGCTGGTGGAGAAAAAAAAA